AAAAAGCGTAACGCATGTGCGGAGCTGTTCTTGGTCATTAAACCTATAGTCGTCGTAGTTGCTTAAGCTCCTTAATAAGTCGACTCGTCACCAACGAATTACTCTGAAATAACTGACACAGTTTAATACCGGGATTGCTTACTTAAGATTTTTACTTGTTCGTCAAGCGTATTCGAATTTAAAATAGTAATAATATATGTATAGGTTCGGTGAGTGTAAACTTTGGTATTTGAGAGATTATTAAAAAAAACTGACAGAAAATTTTTACATCCACTGGTCATTCGTTTGAAATATAAAATATAGTAACGGTTAAGAAATTTCCGTTCATGAATCAAAGTTCAAAACAATGCTTGGTGGCGATTTCGTTGGTGGCGAGGTAACGAGATACGACCCTTCTGACTGGGAGACGTCTTCTTCAAAGAAACTGGACCTAAAGCCAGGATACAAGAGCCACCTTAAATGTCTGGACGCAATGGCCTACTATGTAGGCTTATTTCAGGGGCACCCAACGGGAATATAGTTCAAAACCAATTAAACATAGCATTGTTGAACGTATTTTAGTATTTAAACGGTAGATATGGGTATTCTTTAATCCCTTAAAAATTTTTCATCTGTTCGGATTTCCTAGTTGAAAGTCAAGTGATCCGAAAATTAAGGGATCAAAAGTTACCTTTTCGAAAATTTCAGCCAGAAAAATGGCTCCTGAAAATTCCAGGTGTTCTTTTTAGCATAAAAATCCGTTAAAAATGGGCAATTATACCATTTTTTAGATGTTCCAAAATCCTAGGAGAGGCAGGCAAGTAAGAAATTTTAAAACAAATGTTCCGAAAATTCTAGATCTCAAATCGTCTTCCAAACAGATATTTTCCAAAAATTGACGTTGGGTGTCCCTCTTATTTGGGCTGATTTAATGTAGTTCTGCCTTGTCCCCCGGCGGCAAGGCGCAAGGCGTCATGGGAAGGGTGTAACACGCGATCGAGGCGCCGTTCACTGGGAGCCGTGCAGTCTTCGTAAAGCTGCGGGTAAAACGGGCAAGAAAAGTGCAACTTGTTTTGCAACATTGCTGCAAACGAGTTGAAAGGCGATGTTACGCGTTTTACCACACACGTTCAAACCTGTCTTGCCAAAAAATTAACGTTGCTGCAAGTTGTGTGTATACTGACTTCTGATTGGATAAAATTACGCGGGAGCCACGCCCTACACGGGAGTGACGTCACTTGCTGCAAAACAAGTTTGCCTTGGGCCGGTAAAACGCGCAACACGTGCCGATGCTGTTGCAAAAGTAGAACTACTCTCTACTTTCTGCAACAAGTTTTCGCGACCTGCAACAACCTGATCGAACGTGGTTGGTAAAACGAGCAACATTGCTTTTCAACTTATTTTACAGCAATGTTGCAAAACACGTTTTCGTGGCCCGTTTTACCCTACCTTAAGGCACAACGCGCACTATCTGCGAGCAAGAAAAGACCCCTGGGAAGAAGTAGGGCTGGTATAAAGAAACTGAAAACAAGCCGTTTACTCTTCAAGTATAAGATTTAATCAAATTTCATTCCACACAATTAATCCAATTTGTAGTGTTAAGGTCGAGACAAACGACCAAAGTTTGGGTTAAATTAGCTTAGATACAGGTATAATTTACGTTCAAATTAATCATCTGGTTGTGAAATCTGAATTCCTAAGTAACACTTNCAAGGCGCAAGGCGTCATGGGAAGGGTGTAACTCGCGATCGAGGCGCCGTTCACTGGGAGCCGTGCAGTCTTCGTAAAGCTGCGGGTAAAACGGGCAAGAAAAGTGCAACTTGTTTTGCAACATTGCTGCAAACGAGTTGAAAGGCGATGTTACGCGTTTTACCACACATGTTCAAACCTGTCTTGCCAAAAAATTAACGTTGCTGCAAGTTGTGTGTATACTGACTTCTGATTGGATAAAATAACGCGGGAGACACGCCCTACACGGGAGTTTCGTCACTTGCTGCAAAACAGGTTTGCCTTGGGCCGGTAAAACGCGCAACACGTGCCGATGCTGTTGCAAAAGTAGAACTACTCTCTACTTTCTGCAACAACTTTTCGCGACCTGCAACAACCTGATCGAACGTGGTTGGTAAAACGCGCAACATTGCTTTTCAACTTATTTTACAGCAATGTTGCAAAACACGTTTTCGTGGCCCGTTCTACCCTACCTTAAGGCGTAACGCGCACTATCTGCGAGCAAGAAGAGACCCCTGGGAAGAAGTAGGGCTGGTATAAAGAAACTGAAAACAAGCCGTTTACTCTTCAAGTATACGATTTAATCAAATTTCATTCCACACAATTAATCCAATTTGTGGTGTTAAAGTCGAGACAAACGACCAAAGTTTGGGTTAAATTAGCTTAGATACAGGTATAATTTACGTTCAAATTAATCATCTGGTTGTGAAAGCTGAATTCCTAAGTAACACTTATTACTGCTTTTTAATCTTCTATACATACATTTTAGTACCAATAAACAAACTCTCTTCAACATTCTATTTTTTATCGAGTGGCTAGTTACTCACACTTTTATGTATGAAATAGTAGCACGTTTTTGCCTGTTTTCTGTTGCCATGTTCACAATACGATAAAAAATAGGCCCTTCCATCATTTCCGTGAAAGGTTCCACGATACTAGCAGAGCCTTTCTTTCACTTGCATGCTCGATTTTGCGCACTTGAAAATAATCTGCATGACTGATCGAGTAAAAATCTTCGTTGAACATGAGTTGCATGTTGTTAGAATACTGTTTCGAACCCAGACCTAATAGCTGTGCGCTTGGTTCAGCGGGGTCAGTTATGACCATCGGTTTATCCGAATAAACGGACGCTCGCGATCGAAAAACTAGTTTTGACGAGAGAAAACAAGATTGACTAGTTTAGAAATTCGGCCTGAGGTGATTTCAAAGCCTTGACGCGGTTCAGGAAGAGCCTATCTTTCTCCTTCACGATCAAGAAGAGACAAAATGGCCTGAGGCTTGATGAGACAAAATCAGCGATTTGTATGGAATTCTCCACTCAAGCCTCGACCTCGTTTTATTGTGTGCTCACTGAACGGAATGCCGGAAAGGCAACCTCGTTCCCAGGGTTCTCTCCTACTTGTCATATCCCGCTCCGGGGACGAGTAGAGGACAGCCTGGGGGCGAGGGAAAGACGGAAAAGGTATAAAGTACGACATACATATACGACCAAAAAAAAAACAAAAACAAATCAAAAACAAAAAAAATACAAACTATAAATGCATCGAAAAACCGGAAATTAAAGGCGGATTCAGGAAGGTGCATTAAGTGGCAACCCTTGACCCGTACAATAAGCAAAATAAGCAAAAAACATAAATAACTATTGTGTAAAATAAATTTACTTATTAACTATTTTGTTTGTTTGTTTGTTTGTTTTCGCGCAATTGCAGATTTTTTTGTTAATGGCGACGTTTGGTAAATTTTGATATCAAAATTTATATATTTTTTACCTAACAAATTGGAGACTTTTAATGTGTTTTACACTGGGATAAAAATGTTTAGTTTAATCTCTGAACACATATTTTTCTCATTAAGTATCCAAATGCAATAAGCATCTAGTGTGTATGTTCTTTAGAGAACATGATCATTAAAAGAAACACCATCGAACAGAAAGCAGCGTTTGGTGACGAAACAAAGAACGCATGCCGGAAACATGCCGGAAGACTAAAGACAGCCTCGTTCCCAGTCGTCCTCGGCGATTTCGGACGGACGTCATGTGTCAAGCTTTTCGGAAAAATGTCACTCGGTTGGCACGAACTGGCCGGCGGACGAGGCTGGGAGGAAGACTAACAAGTTTCAGGCCTTCAGGTCTTCACAGCCGCGCCTGTTTCTCCTCGGCAAAAACGACAGGTAAATGGAAAAAGAAAACGAAAATTACCGAACGACATTTCCGAAAATTTTTGGTACCTGGGTAGAAAGCAATTTTGTGTTTATGCGTTGTGTTTATGTTTACCGACATCTAAAATAGCTTATAAAAGTAAAGCAATAGATAAAGACTGTTTTCTGCAAACAACAGCCGACGTGAAACGTGACATTAAATCGTTTTATGGGAAAACGCACGCTTGCAGTAAACATATTCCTGTTCAATTGAGCATGCTTTAGTGACTAACGTGTGTTGACTCATACTCGTCACCAGAGCCTTGGGTGTTATGGCTCAGTCATGCACAATGGAGAACAGGTCTGGAGTCGAGAACCTCGACTTCAGCCTTGTATTGAAAACGAGTACCTCGCGGGAGTTCAACTACCATATTGGATTATGCGGACGATTGTGAAAATAGCGAAATCTAATTTCAAACTAAAAGTCTAAGACGCTGACAAGATACCTATTATTAGTTGGGCTCACGACGGAATGTGATGGTTAATGTAGCCGGAATATCCGACCAGCTTAGTGTTAATCAAGAAACCACGCAGAAACGACTTCGTCCATTACATGACGCCATTCCCGCCACTAAGTGTCCATTCCCTGACGATGACATCGAAATCCGGGACATTGCCGGCCTCGGAAATTTACTGTTCTTATCAGGAAGTAGTGGACGCGGAGGCGAGTCTAGATCCAGTCCCACCGGGTCGTGCCTGCAGTCGTTAGTACCTTCGTTGACGATGCGCACTTGACGACCATTTTTGGTATTGACAGGAATGGTGCGATTGTTTATCACCAATACTGTGCTGTCGGGGTGTTGATAAAGACCTGCCGCGCTGCACTGGTAAATGTCATTACTATCCACATATCCACGCGCGTTTTCGAGAATATTTACGCCGTAGTGGTCGGTGGATTGTATGCGATTTCTAGTGATGTAAGGATCTCCAGGACCTCTTAGTTCAACCCCACTTAAAGCGTTGCAAAAAACGTCATTTTCCTTGATCAAGCCCTTTCCAGACACGACAATTCCGTGCTTTCGATTTCCATAGATACCGTTTCCGCTGACATTGGCACTGCAGGCTATTTCAATGCTTACGCCGGAGCTGTTGTTTCTGCAGACACTGTTGTCCTCAATGGTGATTTCCGCTGGCTTAGCGATTTTAATACCGCAGCCTTCATTGTTGTGCACGTTATTGCCTCTGATAAGCAGCCCCTCGCTGCCGGAAAAATAGATACCGTGACCTGCATTGTCGAAAATTGTGTTGTTGTCTACACAAGCAAAGTTCTTGTCTGGTCGAGGGCCTGTTAAACATGAAAAGAAAAAAGCACAATACAATCTACTCCTTTTATTTATTTGTAGTGTCTTCCCGAGAAAAGAAAAGCCTAAGTGTGAACAAAACACTTCCCTGATGATGCCTTGCACAGCGACTTTTAGACGGATTTTCAACAGGGCGGATATAGGTTGGGCCGCCCTGGTTTTCAATTGTCTAGCATCCGCGCTTCGCGATTGACTGAAAAATCTCGAGACAATTTTCAAGCCAATCAGAAGTGGAAGGCAAAACAAATCAGACGTTTTCCCGCGACTGGCGCTAACTACAATCCGCTTAAAGAACTAACTGACTTATTTGACTTTTAGCTGTGTTGGGATTGGCCAGATTAATAATTTTGCTGGGCCTTACCGAAAAATACTGCACTACGAGCAGTCTTTTATTTTCCTCTTAGATAACAGAGCGATTGAAACTCGTGAGTGCGCGCGAAAAATTTCACCCACGAGAAAGCTGACAAGCGGAGGGAAAGAGGGAAGAGAGAATAAACCTTCCTCATGGGGGGCTTGCACGCGCACTCGTGTATTATGCACGCCCTATCATCCCCGAGGAAAATAAGGGGCTCCTCCTGAAACAGTCTAATTGTAACTTAGGAGAGAAACTATGTTCTCTTACCGTTCAAATCAATTGACTGCTCGTGGTCGTCAAAGTTGGAAGCGGAAGACAAATCTTCATCAAAGAATAACGGTTGCATTTGCTGTTCCTAAATGGGGGTAAAACAATTGAATCATAAAGAAAGATTTCATGGTAGCCGTGCAGCCATCCCCTTCCCTCGGGAGGGGAGGGGAGGGGATGGGGACTGTACTAGCCTGAGTATCAGGCCTTCCTAAGGGGCTAGGGGAGAGGAGAAACGCCTGATACTCAGGCTAGGACTGTACACAGTTCCGTAGCTAACGGTAGTTTGGACATAAGTGATGAGTACACCAAATAACATCAAATAAGGTCGAATTAACCTCCATGAGCGACCACCTATTCAAAACACCAAAATTTTCCCAGTAAAATCACTCAACAAAAAACGTAAAAAAAAGAACAGGCCAACATTCAGCCATCTTGATGAAACAAACCTGGTCAATAATGAACTTACGAAATAGCCAAAAAAAGGAAATTTTTCTCGCAGGAGCAACGCAGGATGGACCAGCAAGATGGGCCGATCTTGCCCGCTCCGATAGCTTATCAGAACAAAGGATTCGCTTCACCTTGCCCGCTCGCGGATTCAGCCATATACATGTACAACCTCGTTCCCAGGTTCTCTCTCGCTCCGTAGGGAAGGGTAGGAGAGAACCCCGGGTACGAGATTGACACATGCTGTATTAACCCCTTCACTGCCAGAGTACTTGATGGAGTTTTGTAAGGCGACTCTAACTTATGAGTCTGAGCACGAAATCCTATGATATGACCATTCAAATGAAAGCTCTCTTCCTGTACTTTCACATGATGCTATTTGTTTGTCAAAATTTTTGAAAACGAAATTTGGAAATTTGGCCGAAATTTGCCTTCGGCCACATTTGGCAATGAAAGGGTTAAGATACGACATTACTCGACTTACCTCTTGCTCTGACTGCGAAAATTGTGAGCTAAGCTGTTGATTATCATGATGCAGGTCACTGTTACTAACAAGAGCCACTCCGCTGTCTCCACAGTCCGCGATTCGATTTCCGTAGATGAGTGGCTTGGAGACAGTGAGGATCCACACTCCACAACCACTGTTTCCTGGATGACAATAGAGAGCTTTAGACAGGGGCACCCAACGGCAATTTTCGGGAAAATATCTGTTCGGAAGACGATTTGAGATCTAGAATTTTCGGAGCATTTGTTGTAAAATTTCTTGCTTGCCTGCCTCGCCTAGGATTTACGAACACCTACACAATGGTATAATCACCCGTTTTTAACAGATTTTGACCCTAAAAAAGGCCACCTAGAATTTTCGGGAGCCTTTTCCTGGCTGAAATTTTCGAGAAGGTAAGTTTCTATCCCTATAATTTTCGGATCACTAGATTTTCAGCTAGGAAATCCGAACAGATGAAAAGTTTTTAGGCGATAAAAATATGCCTACATCTACCGTTTGAATACTAAAATACGTTCAACAATGCTATGTTAAGTGGTTTTGAACTATATCCTCGTTGGGTGCCCCTGTTTAGATTCGAGGACGAGGACGAGGACGACTAAGAGTACGAGATTTTCCCAATACTAAGTAGTGCACGCGCGTGAACCAGCGTCTTTGGCGGGAAAACGTGATCGCCGTCGTCATTCTACAACGGGTTTTAGGGAGAATGTCGTAGTGGCAAAAACAAGTTATGAAATGTAAGAAGTTTTATCATTTTGCTATCGGGAGAGGGCTTAACCTCCCTCAGTATAAATAACCGTACTAGCTTTTTCGGTGAAAAAAAGGAAAATGGAGGTTTCCCGGGTGTCTTTTTGTTTGAGAACACGCGCAAAAACTTTAAGTTAAATCTCGTACTCGTTTTCAGCCTCAATTCTAAAATATTATTACAAGAACAAGCATTAGCAGAATCTTAAAAAAAAACATGAATCAGATTCATTAACAAAGCCCTGGTTCCTTTAATAATCGTAGCAATCGCATATATACCCGTTATGCTATTATTTTCCACAGAATGCACACATGTAGGGCTTGGACTGACAGCGAAAGAAGTGCAAGCATACGACTCAATGTGGACCACAAAAATAAATCAAAGTCCGAATTTCCGAAGTTTCATTTAAGGCTGGTTTCCATATGATTACTACGCTTGACGAAATTTGTGATTGGAGCAATCATATCCGGAAACCGGGCTTTATAGTAGTTTCATTACCGTCAGTGCTAAAACACAGGCAGTGTCTGTGAGGTGAGGAACTCAAATCCCGGTGGGACAGGATGAGCCCTTATTTTTACTAGCGGTGAGAGAGAGCAAGGTATTCAGGTGTAATAGAAGCAGGCAGAGGCAATCTTGAACAACAGCCAAATTCCCAAAAGACCTACAGCACAGAAGTGTAACACAAAAACTGTTTTTTTTTTCCTCCGAAAAAAGAAAAATCGGTTCACCGGTTCCTGGTCACCTCGCCACCAAAAATAGAACTTGGCTTAGCATGGTTTTGAACCGTCATGAACGGAAATTTCTTAACTGTTGCCTTATTTTCATATCGCAAAGAAATGACTAGTGGTTGTAAAACGTTTCTGCCAGTTTTTTAATCTATCATATGTCAAAGTTTTCATTCACGAAACCTACACATGTATTATTAGTATTTGCATTATCGAGAGCGTAAGACGTTCAACGCAAGGATCGTCAGTTAGGATCGACAGATTTGTATTTTGGTCGACTTTAAATTCGCAGAAGCTTCACGAAGAAGTAAAAAATATTAAAATTAATCTTAGGTAAGTAATCCTAGGTATTAAACTGTGTCAATTATTTCAGAGTTATTCGTTGGTGGCGAGTCTGCCTCATGGTAGCGAGATGTCATGAGGAAATTAATTCAAAACCCGGGTAAGAGTATCGGCTTTTCCTCCAACAACACTGAGAATTAAATACCTCTTATGTCATTATCCATGATGACTCCCTTGCCACCCTCTCCAATGACAATTCCGTCAGCATGTCCATCCCTGATCCAGTTATTAGACACCACAGGGTTACCACCATTGCGGATGTCTACGCCACCCCACTCCATTCCATAAATGTCATTGTAGAGAATGTGGCCCTTTCCTTCCTCTGTCACAGCAACACCAGCTGCTCGTCCTGACCAGATTCTGTTGTGTCTGCAATGAAATGTATTGGGCATGTTTAAGGTACATTTACAGGTTTAATCATAACTATAACAAAATTCTCAAATTTGATTGGCTATCAACTGTCCTGATTTCAGCACTAACGGGAAAGTGTAATCGCACAGTACGCATCATGCCTATGTAATATTGGACAGGACGCGCCATCTGCACTAAAATGGCTCTTTTTTCACTGCTAGCAAGAAAACTCTTGAAAATTCTTGTGCTTTTTATTTTCAAGGGCGCTAAAACATCACAAATTGTGTTGTAGTTATGATTAATTGGTAACAGAACTTCATTTCATCCAATTCTGTCTGCAATCATACTCGTGACTATTAAACAAATCGGACTCCCGCTACGCAGTCGTCCGATTTTGTTAATATCTCGTATGATTACAGACCGAATAGGACTCCACTCAGTCCTATTACCATTACTAAGGAGCTTAAGATCCGACGACGGGGACAGCTACGAAAACATCACTTAAAAAGTGAATGCTTGCTGCTTTAAACTTTATGACGCTTATTCTATCTCGTTTAATTCGTCAAATGCTGGTAAATTTTTTTGGAGTTGATTCTAAAGGAGTGTATCAAAGGTCAGGAAAAGAAAAAGAAAGTCGTTGTCTTGTGTTCCCGTCCGCCAGCAAAACGTGAAATTGGGCATTTTCACGTTGTAGTCATGCAACCACGGCAAAGAAATGTACAAAAAAGCGTGATGCACGTGCAAAGTTGTGGTTTTGCTAATCTAAACCTATTGCTTTTTTGCTGTTTTCGTTGCCGTCGCTGTCGCCCGATCTTAAGCTCCCTATTATTAAGATAACACGTCCCTATGCTAAAATGAAACTTCATCATTAACCTGCAGCTAGTGATGTTTTGCAAAATTGAAAAGATTTGTAACTCACTTGACAATGGGATTTCCACGATAGAGAATGTAGACTCCTGCCTCTTTATTATCATAAATGTCATTGTCTCTAATAATCCCTTTACCACGGTCTAAAATAACCACTCCAGAACGTTTTCCACTGTGAATGTGATTGTGCTGTAAGATTGGGTCTGAACCACTACGAATGTCCGTACCAGCTTCTTTGTTGGAATAAATGTGATTTCCTGCAACCAGACCAGTAGATCGTTCTCTGAAAAAAATCCCCGAAGTTTCACAGTCGTGTATTCTGTTGTTAAGTATCACAACTTTTGCACCTGTGAGACACCTAATACCGTGTGATAAACGGCCAACTTCATTTCCTTCAATCCATGCATGTCCTCGTCTTCTGACAAGCACGGCCCCCTTTCCTATACAAAAGCGATTTTTTCTTACAATACAACCATGGATAGACCTCACAACCTCGCGACACTGTGCATCAAGATAGTATCTCCGCGTGTGACATGCAACACCAAGTGAAGTCTTAGTTTGACTGAGATCGTTTGTTAAAACAGTCACCTGACTACCACTGTGTCCTTTCATTGGCTCGTCAGGAAGTTTAGCAGGTGGCATTAAACATTTCTCATTTTGTGGTTCAATGGCTTTCCCCGACATTAACTTGGCTCCATTCTTCATTCCTTGATCGCCATCAACAACTGACAGGTCATATAAGTCTTCTAAACCCAGCGAGTCAATACCATTTGATGTCATCCAGTCCTCGATTGGTCTGGATATGGGTCTTTGTCTAGTGATTGGTGGAAGACCCTCTATGACAACTGCTGACGTTTCGTCTGTGCTGAATAGGCAGTTTTCAATCCTACTAAAGCCAACTGATCGTAGAGTGATAAAGGCATTATTAAAGGTGCAGTAGCGGACAACAATACTGCCAGGAGATGATACCTGTACTTGGCCCTGCTCAAGAACACAGTTGTCAACTTGAACATGTCCAGTACCAACCTAAATTAAAATTGAAACAAGTTTGAAAAAATGGTATATTTACATGTACCCTAAAAGGGGTGGGGGGCAGGAGAGGGGCAGGTACTCAAGGGAAGTAATTAGGTAGTGAAACAAGAAACCTCATAATCAAGTGTTTTGTCTTTAGAAATTATTATAAGTCCTTAACGGGCCTTATGGAAACTGAATGAGTTCTGTGTCCTTGATGGAATGATCTGGAAGAGAGTAGTGGTGTTTAACAACATATACCTGCTTAGGCCAAATAAGGGAGAGCCCTCCTATCCGCTGGGGTAAGTAAAATAATTTCTGTATCATTAACCTTAATTTCCATTATTTTTTAACCTCAAATACTCAATACACTCCAGACATTCTTGACACCCAGGGAAGAGGAGTACATTTTTGCTCACTATTGATCCGCCAGTATCGGAGATGAAACTGTTAAGAACCATCGAATTGGTATAAATTACTTAAGATTTCTTCGTTTAATCCCCTTTATTATATAGATACTAATGAAATACCAGGATTTTTCCTTTTTCTAAAAAATCATATCTTCATCGCACGCAGTGAAGATACTATTTTTATCTTTCACATGTGAGGTTATTGGTGTCGCCATGGTTACTAACATGACTTTTGACTTTTTTGAACAGAAAATATAAGTATTACTGTCTTTATTTCTCCTTTATAACTTTATATCCGAGTTTCATAACACTTTTTGTGACAGGCATTTTGCGATAGGTGACCACTTTAATAAATTGCACTATTTTGCTGTTTCGAAAATTAATTTAAAAAAAGTTGTGTTTTATGTAGGAATTTCGTCATTATCTATAAAATAAACAGAACATTACATGGCCGCTTGGGGATACAAATTTTATCTTCTCATGCTGAAAGTATCTCTCACTCGTGCGCGAACTCGAAGATAAAATTCGTATCCCGGCGCAGCCATGTAATATCCTCTATATATACTACTTGTTAACCTAATCCGATTGGTCATTACAGGGAAATCTCAGACCAAGGCCTGGATGTATTGACCGAGCGATAGACAATGTTAATAAGTTATTTATTATATGGCCTTTTCATCATGGACCTGAGCCTGCGATCAATTAAAACCAACAACTGGTCAGCGGAAAACTTTTAAAAACACGTCAACTCAATGAGTTGTACACTTGAACCCGCGATACAGTCAGCTGACACTGGTCATGATCAGCAGATACCATTTTTGACAGCTGTCAATTGACCATAACATGGATGTCCATAAAGATGACCACTATCAAGTTAAATACAGATTGTAATGCCTTGGATACCTAGCTTGTAATGCCCAGTCATCACAAGAAAACAGCCAATCAGAACGTGTATTCTATTGAAGCCATATAATAAAATAATTTAAAGAATACCCGAATAATGTTTGCTTTTTGAATTTCGCATTTTTTTTGTCCCCATTAATAAAATAATTTAAAGAATACCCGAATAATGTTTGCTTTTTGAATTTTGCATTTTTTTTGTCCCCATTGTTTCAAATCTTCAAAGTTTCAAATCTTTGTGTACATTGCCTTTATTTCATTCATTTTGAAATAATACCCCCCTCTTTCCTTCACCTGAAACTACATAATTTTGTATATTTTTTTTCTTCAATATGGTAATTAACACAAGGCAAAACTTCCTGTAACATAAAAGGTGTAATATTGAGTCAGTGGGCAAGCAGCAAGCAGCTGCCCTGTTGCTCTCCTCGGAAAACTCTGAATATCTAACATATAACTGAAGTTATGTTTGTAAGATATGATTAATGTTTTCACAACTACTATACTGTTAAAAACATTATGCATGATTATGTCAATGGCACAGTCACCTACATGTATTATGACTCTAATTTATATAGACTAAGAGAAAAATTTTCTGATTTGTGAATGTGGTCAAAAACAGTGTATGTACACGGCTTGCTAGACTCTATGATCTTTAAAATTACATGTTAAATGACAATCAAAAGAAGTTTTTAACTCAACAGTCTGTCATTAAAAATGTAGTGGAAAAAGATATTGCACTGGAGATAAACCTGCAGTGCCATTAACACAACTATGACATATTCAAAACAGAACATTCGTTGCACTGTGTAATGTATTCAGTAGAGAGAGGCTGTTGTCTTTCATAAGTGGCTTTATTATAAGTACAAAAAATGCCAAAAAATAGTATTTAATTGCCATAGGACAAGGTTTTCATTAGCTGGCAGAAAAAATTCTTGCTATTTTGGTTCTTAAAAGTTTATCTCACTATCAAAATAATAATATTATCTTTTTTATTCTTGTTCAGTAGATGGAAAATTTATCACATAATTTTATGTAATATAATGGCCATGCAGGAAAAAGTGTTTTAAATGATGTCATAATATGCAATACATCATTGTTTGGAAAAAAATTAACAGCTGCAAAATGAAGTGCTGAGAAATTAGAAAATATCCATAGCCTACTTTTCTTTCTATGATTTTCTCATTTGCAACAAGAATTAAAACACAAGAAAATATCTTGACTTGGCTGTCCACAATGTTGTAAATAGAATTTTTCAAAAATTCACCAGGCATTTTAAAATTCTCTCAAGAGTTTTGCTCAGTGAAAAAACAACGTAAACGCATTTCATGGCAATGAAAAACATATACCATACAAAGCTGATACAACTCATCAGCGAAGTAGGATACAAGACATGTTTCCACTGCTATTTTGAAGCTAATGGTCAAAATCATGTCCATTTTTGGCTCATACAGGTTCTCAAGAGTGGCATAGCATGACATTTTCTCACTTTCAGACCACTTTCCAGCCAGCTGGAATTTGTACATCCCCCATGATCTTGGGGAGTGGAAGAGAAAATGCTCATCTTCTCGTCAAGTTCAACGTCTGGATGATCCAGTCCACGAGTGGAAGTTAATCATTGTAAACCTGAAAGTCTACCTTGTGTCTTAAATTTGGTAAGACCCCTAACTGTGCTCTGTAGAAAATTAAATGAGGAATTAAAAGAAAAACAAAAAGCCAAGAAAAAAGAGAGCGAATAAAAAAGAAAAAATTCACCGCTAGCCTAGCTAGGGCTTGAACCCCGTGGTGGTCATACAGGTACAATCAAAGAACTGTGGGGCAGAAGCACAACACAGACGCATCACAAATGTTTTTATACAATGATTTTTCCTCTTACTTTATAGCTGTTGGTCCAAACCCCTTCCATTTTGTCTGCAAAATACTTCTGCCATCGAAATGCATTGCCAAAAGCATTTTTTAAACCGCTTTTTTAATGCGTGGCCACACTTTCAATCAGACCAAGATGATGGACTTCCGATCCTGTGCAAGTTTATGAACTTACTGACTTACAGATTAACTCACAATGCCACAACATAGTGGCTACTCTCCCTTAAGCTGAAGGGAGGCAGTAGCCACAAAAACCTAACATGAGAACACTGTCATGTGATGACAACGTCATCACCCTTTTCTGATTTCTGTCTACCCTAGCAAAAGCTATGTAGCTGCAACCACAAATAATTTATGCATTGTGTTTAGCACCTGGGAAGTTCGATGTATGAGTTGAAGTAAATCTTTTTCACTCTATTCAACGAGCTCAGTCAAATACAACAGTGGATCAATCCAAATACAAATCTGTTGATCCTTAGATTTGTACATTTATACATGTAATTGATTCATATGTCAAACCTTTGCATGTGCCAATTGTTGAGCAAAGTTTGATGTTTCCACCTGGCCTGTATAAGCACAAAAAAGGAAGAAAAAGAGCCACGCACCATACATACAATATTTCACAAATATGCTAGCCAAACCAACTTCTTATTTTTTGTATCTAGCGGCTGGTTTTTGCTAGCTTAAATAGTACATGGTACCAGTATACACAAACAGAGGAGGAAAAGATTTTTTAGAGAGGAAATTAATTCAAATTTACAAATAAGATGTGATAAAAAAGAGAACTAACAAGCTAAGTTTAGTCAACTTTTTACCACAATTTTCAAATTCAGAAGCTCTTACGGCCATGAACCAATTTGTGAAAATTATGGAAATATAAGTGTAAAAAACTAAAAAAAAAGTTGTCAGTGTACTTTAACACAGCTATAAAAATATGACTTCAGGTTAAAAGAATAATTTAACTTTAATAGGGCGGAGAGAATATCCTGCAAAAAGTGATACATTTGAAGCCACAAATGTCCGAGAGGTAAATTTCACTATAAACTTAAAATATATTGATCAATATAAATTGTGTAAATGTTACCTAAGAAATACATAATAACAGACCTGGTTCGAGAAATTTAATATAAAATATCTCTCGGTGAATTAAATAATAATATGAAAGTCTTGACCAGAATTATGATAAAAAGTTAGTTCATAAACTAAGAATAGGAGGTCTGTTTACTATGAAATGTCGCATGAAGTACATAGCGCAGATCTTTAGCGACCACATAAGAGAGCCTGCTAATAAAACTAATTTCCCTAACGCCTTGGGTTTTTAACTACAAATCTGTATTTTTCACCCTACCTTTAAAATGACAGGGAGTGTAGTTTGAGATCTTTGCGGGCCAGGTTGAAGAATAATGTTTTGAATTCGTGTGGTCGAAGCTTGCTGTTCGATGGCTATTTGAACAAGGACATCGCCAAGTTCTCCTTCACCACAGATTTCGATTGGGAATTTCAAACTCAAAACATGCTGCTCATCATAAACACCAGGCTGAAGTAGAATGCAATCGAAAGGAGAAGCCGAAGCAATTGCACTTTTAATAGTCTGGAATTCTCTGCCCGCTCCAACACGGAAGATACGTCGGCGATCTAATCTTCGCCTGAACAAATACAAGCAAGGTGCACATCGAACCTCGACACTGCGGTTGACCCACTGTTTCGAAGCCAAATGATGGACTTTGTATGTGTCTTTCCAAGAGGACGGTTCTTTCTGTGTGTAGTTAGGCCAGTTCGGATGTTTCCACCGTTTTGAAGCCAAAAAAAGCTCTTTCCAACGGGTAGAATCTAAGCTTTTCACTAACTCCCTCCATTCTTGGCAAACTTGGGAACAGCGACATAGATCTCGCACTGAAAGATGGTTTAAAATAACCCGCCACAGTTCCAAGGGAAGCAGAACTTCTTTTTCGGGCATTTCTCTGACTGGTGCAAGGGAAATCTTAAATATCTACCTCGAGAAACCTTGTCAGGCTTCAAAAATAGTCAGGTATGCGGCTGCCGCCATTTGCGAACTGTTTATGGATCGCGTGAACAAATTATGCAAAAACAGTCCTTCGATTTGTCTGTATTTTGATTGGTTCGTATAAGCTGTTAAGCCAGTGCCAGTGACACCGGAAGCCGGAAAGAATGGTAAGGCTAAGCTTACTTTTTGGATTTTAATTTCCCTCACCCAGATAAAAAACCAGACTAAATATCAACGAGTAAACATTAGAAATATTAAAACCGGAAATAACTTCTCGACCTTTGAGGATGGAATCCCTCGAAACCAACTTGGTTTACTCGCCATCCCGCGAAAATTATGTACCAGTCATTTGAAACCCTCGCACCCCCCCCCCCCCCCCAACCCGCCCTTTGAGGGATGCCTGTATGGCAGACCGAATGATATTAAGAGCGAATGTCTGTAAAAATCGAGCAACCGGCGGCCACGGTCAAAAATTAAATTTCGCTCATATCTTGTCCATACATACTCATTAGTAACTAACTAAACGTGGTGTAGTTTGTTTTTCAAAAGGCCGTAAAACAAACTACACCACGTTTAGTTACTTACTTATGCCTATCTATGGACAAGATATGAGCGAAAATGATTTTTTGACTGTGGCCGCGAAATTTCGATTTTGCTCGATTTTTACAGACATTCGCTCTTAACATGATTAAGTCAAATGGTATGGTGCGACGGTGACGAAGGATGCAGGTTCAAGTGGTTCCTGGCCTTGCTCATACGTGGGCGAGTGGCGGAGAACACAGTTCCACCAGAAAACGGTTTCGCCCTGGTTACGAGGTTGCATGTTTATGATTCATTATCAGGGATGCTACAATTTGTCACAATCTCCCTAAACAGTAGTCTGATGAGGGTGCAGTAGTAATAAAAGCATTTTTTTCTTATTTTTCAGTAGCCTGCGAGAATTAGAAGAAATTAAGTCATCATTTTTAGACTAGAGCTCCAACAAGATTTCTTAAAAAATCTTTACGATTTCGCTTCTGTTACTCTGTCTTCCTGATTCATTTGGAAGTGCAAGGACAAATACGTTCATACACTCCCGTAGTTTCCTCGAAAACCATACCCGATTCCAGACCAAAATGGGCAAAATCTATACCCGTTTTCAGAGACCGAACTGATGGCGCAAAAACCCCACCTTTGGGGCGGTACATACCCCCCCGGGAACAAAGCACATTCAGCGAAATAGTGAGAGGTGGTCGTTTACGAGTGGTTCCAACTATAGGGGGAAGGTGGTAAGTTAAACGCTGATAATTGCAAATAAAACGCTGATCTTTCGGCAATGCTGCCTTCCCCGATGGAGGAATTCTCAATTCTGACTGTATGTGATTTTCCCAGCCCTATCCTGCTTCTGATCTGACAAAACCTCATCTCTTTATTTTTTAAAACTGTATGATTATTAAGTCTACTATTCTTTCTCCAGCCAGGTGTACATTTCCTCAAAACATTCTCAACACTTCCGAAGAGTTTTTGGGCCCGAAGAGTGTTTTTTTAAAATTCATTTTTAACCATCTTGCCGAGTTTTTGTGCAGAAGTAGGGCAACACATTTCTCGATCTCGCAAGGTTTTCAAATCTTTACAATCAACATTTATTAAAGACCACATTTTCTGCTCATGAACTCTTAAAAGCCTCATTGTATTATTGTCCCCAACCTACCCAGTCCAACCCACAACGGAAGCAGTCTGGTAACAAATCAAATGGCATTGAAAGCCTGGGCTCGAGTTACCTTCTTTCTTTTCTCTTTCTTTCTTTCTGCTTCATCGCAGAAAAAAATGCCTGGCCGACGAAAAACGGGCAAGAATGCCCCGATTCTCAGCCATGAATTCGTCATTACCAATCATGGCGATATAGTCTCTTGTATCTGTATGGTTTTCATGATGGGACTTATGTTCCAGGTGAGATTTTCGCTTTTTGGGGGAGTAGTGTAGTCTTCGTGTTGGTAAAACCTTTCAAAAACCTAATTCTTTTTCTTTGTACTGCTGTATAACTAGGCAACGAGCAAAGTAGCGGCTGTATTTATTGCACCTCAGCATAATCTGACCAGGACTACTAACGGTAAGTCTGATAAAGGAAATCACAGCCCTTTCTATTCAAAAGATATTAACGAATGTACATGTGAGGCCCGCACATACAACGACATATCAGGGTACCACGTGAAACGCAATGTATTTGTGCGGGTTTCAGATTTTTTGTCTCTAAAGACAGCGATCGTTGTTCAACTTTTATTTTAAACAAGTAAAAAATACGTAATGCCTTTTTCGAAAGTCTCATAAGAGCATTTCCCATCTTATTTTAGCTTGGTGCTTTTATTGTCGTGGGAATATTTGATTGGTCATTTCGTTGAAGACAAAAGGCCGGTACAGATATATTCCTACCATTCCTAATTTGTTAAAGATAATACATACTTTACTATTTATCTTTCCTAAAATCTGCTAAGTAATATTTTGTGAAGTACTTAAGGTTTTTAACACTTCCTTAACTAACTTTGTGGGCTGAAACTTAAAAATATTTGTTAAAGGACCTGTTTAAAGACCCTGTGTCAAATTTTCACCCGTAGTTGACCTACGTACACCACAAAATTCTTTCAGCTCTTTAAATGACCCTTGTATTGGTTTGGAATTTTTGTACAATTAAAGAATTTAAGTTACATTTTGAGAGGTTATTACTTTGACATATTCTATGTAAAAACAGTCTGGACAGATATCGGGTGTCCATTAATCTCCTAGATGAAATAGACTTTTGGGTTTTTTAGTGCTTTTGTTGGGAATTTTCCCATTTTTTTCCTATAATTCGAAAAATTTCTTTCATTCATAGTACAATTCTTGGGACATTTTTGAACATATTTCATCACTGATGATGATTAACTTCATCGCAATCTTAAAAGCAAATTCTGATGGTCTGTACATCATGTAAAAAAACATACAATGCACTAAGCATGTTATAATTTGGGGAATGGATAGGGTGGTGTTGGTGGTGATAATATGGGATGGGTGGGGGGGGGG